AATCGCGAATCGCTCGAGGAGTACGATCTCAGCGAACGCAAGAAGGAGATGCGATGTAAAACTAGGCTGGAAGCGAGGCGCGGTAAATGCAACAGCGGCGCTCATACGGTGACTGGAATAGAACTCGGTTAGAAGCGCAAATGCTAAGAAGCGAAAGTAGGAGGGACATACCGAAGATAGACGTCTGCAAGGTTTTGAACGACTCGATGTTGTTGAATAGGCCAACCGCAGCAAAAGAACCATAAGTATGATTCGGACGCGTGATCGACGAGGCCCCTGCCACGGTTTGAGAATGATATCTAAAAACTATGAGATATTAGTAGTTGAAATCACCGTCAGAATAAATAAATAACTCACATTATCGACGCGTGCAGCGATGAATCTTTTTTCCCGTCGTATCCTGCGAATGGGGTCGCCGTTGTCGTTGTCCGTGTGGTCGAGATGCCTATCACCACGCGGTCCCACTTGCCTTGCTCCTTGAGAGCGCGTACCATGCTATCTACGGATCGCTGATAGTTTGCGGCCTTCGCGGTCGTGGCGATGTCAAACGTCACCTCGCGACGCTCGAGCCCGCCGCACGGGAAGTACGGCTTGAGGAAATCGTACGCGAGATCGAACGACCCTCCCGTAGCGTCGTAGTCTACTATCTTCAAGTGAACGAAGAGAACGGGGGCTGAGGATATTTGGGCGCGGAGGGACAGCTCCAGGGTGGCGCGGATGTTCAGGAACCTGTCCAGTACCGGCCGTCCGTCGGAGTAGTGGAAACCCTGTCGAATAAGTGAATCGCAAGTGAATAAAAGCGATCGGAAAGACGGACAAAGTATGGCAAGCGACTTGGACCGTTCTCTTGCCGCCGCCTGCTCTCTTGCTGGGATATATAACAACAAATACATTGGAAAAGGACGTCATCGGCCAGGACGGCGTGCTGGAACGCGGCAGGTATGTCCATGCAATTGACGCAGACGACACGCGGACATTCGCTGCAGCAGACGAGCGAATTTGGCTCTACGGCGCCGTCGCGACAAACGATACAAAACTAACTCTGTTGTAAGTACGTTAGCGAGCAATGAAACGAAATAATACGTACGTCGTTATGGTGAGAACCGTCGGACGCTACGTCCATCTCATCGCTCTGCGATGCGTCTGAGACGTCGTCTGCAGCCTCAAGCGTGATGACCACGCGGGGGGCTGAACCCCCGGTGGATTTCTTCGCCGTCATCTTCTTCGAGGGCATGATCAGGCGTAGTTGATGGGAGGAACTGAATCAAAGCGTTAGTAAGGAACTGCGAGTATTTAAACAAATCACCGCAAGGCCGCCACATTGTTGGCCAAACAACGACAACCGCCGTTGAACCGAAATGTGACGCTGCAGTGTGCGGTCAGTAGTCAAAGTAATAGCGTCGTTAGTATTACCTATGTGTTACGTGCATTTTGACGCGTGGCGCGCGTTACGTGCATTTTGACGCGTAGCACGTAACATGCATGTTTGTAGACATGCGTAAACATGCTCAAACGAACGACATCGGTGAAGGGATAAGCACATACGGACGAACACAAATAATTTTATCTGCTATACACGTCAGAGCTGCTTGAAAGAGACAATTTATAATCTTACCGGACTTATCGCTAGTGAGATTGGCGAAGAGCAGGATCAAGAGATAGACGAGGATGGTGCAGCCGAACCTCCAAAGATGACATTCAACTTCCAAGGTAATGTTTCGAGTGAAGCCAACTCAGCTGTCTTCACGCAAGCTGCGAACATAGTCTTGTAAGTTAGCTACGACGTGCGTAGCTAGAGGCGATGCGAGTGCGAAGGGGGTAGATAGACCGCTGAAGGAATGATAATGATTAGTGTTAGCTTCAAACGAGGGATGACGGATGCGAGAGATATCGTGAATCGGTAAACGAGAGTGACCGCGTTATAGCAATGATAAGAGAAGGTAATGAGACGGGTTCTTCGGGGCGTTCTTCTGGGAGATCTACCGTTCTATTCTGCTCGTTATTAGGAATGTACATGGGCTACTTATACTGTAGGATGAGGAAGGGTCGTCCTAGAATAGTTAAAGGCAAGGGCTCGGTGTACGGTCGGTGAAAGCGGTAGCTGAAGGGAGTGGCGTTGTATTTGATAGTGTAGCGAGAGAATGATATAAGAGTTGTCGACAGGGTGAAGACGGCGGTGTTACGAATGGAGGAACGGTAACGAAAGGAAGGGTTTAGCGAGCGATAGGAATTGAAAGGATAGGTACTAATAAAAGGGGTCGGGTATCGTGCTTGACAAACGGTCCAGGCGTTGACGTGGTGGTTGCGGTGAGAGGAGTATCGGCATGTTCCGGCGATAAATGTTTGATAATCCTTACAGTCTGGAAGGAGCAGCAAGTAAGTTGATGCCTGACATGACGAGATGAGCTCTTATATGCACCTAAAAGGACAAGGAAACTTGCGCACTGCGATACAAAGACGTGCGCTATACTCATGGCGATCTTGTGGCGTTCACAAAGTCCAAGTTCAGGTCCTACAAGCGCAAGTATATTGAAAAGGCTGATGAAGAGAAAGCAGCAAATCGCCGCCAGTTCAACACTGCTAACAAGCGTCTTCGTCGTCAAGAGCATGTAAGACTCATTTCATATATTCATCATATGAGCTGACGCACCAATTGAATCAGCTTGCTGAAGATCGAGAAAAGGCAGTCGAAGAGTACAAAGCCCGGAATGAAAAAGACCCCACGGATCTTCTACGACCTGAGTATATGTCAGAGCAAGCATCAGAGGTTGATACAGATGACGAGGAAAAGAGGAAAGATAGGCAGAAGGTGCTATACCAAGCGGCCAAACTAACCGAGCGTGAAGTTCAAGCAGGTATTCCTGTATGGGAAATCATCAGACCGGCGTGGCGAGCAGATGAGGTATAAAACTGTCCGATAATCTTAGGCTGCTGATTTTTCATCAATGACAGGTGACGAAAATCTTGGAGGAGCTAGATTCAATTAGGGACGAACAACGCAAAGAGTCCAAACGCAAAACGGCACTCACCAGACGTGTCAATCTTGGTTCCGAGTTGAAATCAGAGCCTGTGACAGAAATAGCCATTTCACTTGCCGGTGAAGGAGCTCTGGATGTAAGTGTGTCGAGAGAAAAGGCTTCGGGTAGTAAGTCGATATCTGGAACGTCGAGTTGAGAAGCGAGAGTCAGAGATGAGGGGGTGAGATCATCGAAAGGTTGGAAATCGTCGTCAGAGGATTGCGCATGTGCCGCGTAGATACATCAGAGCAAATCTCAGTTGTTTGACAGACAAAGACAAACCAAAATCAGACGAGCTGCCTGCTTCTATCTTGAAGTCAGCAGAAGAACCTGCCAACGCCACGGTCACCTTGAAGGTCCGTTGCTGTGTGGATGACGTGGTTGCTTTCGATCTTTTTACCTTTTGCTCCCTCTGGCGGTGCCTTCGCTCATCGTATTTTGGGATTTTCTTGCCTTTCGGACATTCCTTAATGCACTCCGTACAGTTGCAAGTCACAGGGCGCTTCTCGATGTCGTACTGGGTGTATTTGCTTCGCATCAGTAGACTGAAGCTGTGAAATAACAAATGTCTCACTTTGCTCTTCTGCTTCCCCAGCTTTCCGGACATTTAGTTGGCACTAGGTGTAGTCAGGGTCAAGGGGTGGTGGGGACTTAGAGGAAATTCAGGCAAGTTGTGAGGGCAAAGGTGGACTGGGTGTCCGTTGATATCAAACTACCATAGGTAAACTACTGGGTCGTCGTCAGCAGATCCGCCAGGTGAGACAAGGTGTGGGGACAAGTTTTGAGCGCATATCAACAAGCGGAAGTTTGAAGGCTAATACAGACGTGTAGTGTAGATCAGTCGAGGAAGAGTTTACATAGTTATACACCGTATAGTCTAGAAATTTTAGTGACCGAAACAACTTACGATCCCGACTGCTTGGAGTGACATGCAGCACGATGGTGAGAATACACGATTGCAAGCAAGGAAATGTGTTGATTGATGATCGACGCGATCAAAGATTTTTGACGCGTAGGAACAAGGAACAAATAAATGCAAATGTTGGACTTTGAACATTTCAAACTTATGAGCGCTGCCAGTGGCAATTAATAGCTGGCAACATACGTTATATACTAGTACTTACACATCATCCAATGGTCTCGATCCTCTGCAGGGGGTGAAGGACACCCTTGACGTCCTTTACAGGCATTCACTACCTCTGGTGGGTGTTGGATTATCGACTCGTCGTTTCTCTTTGTCTTTTCGTCTTATCTCAATTCCTACTATGCGCGCGACTCTTAATTTATAATCTCGCGTCGCTCGTTTGTTCATACCTCAGTCATCGTCTCTCAACGCTGAGGTATGTCAACCGTTATCTTATCTCGCCGTCTCTGTCTCACATTGTGTTCTCTTATAGCGTGTTTCTTTTAGGTACTACGAATGTTATCTAGTCGTCGTCTCTCAACGCTGAGCATGTTTCTTTTAGCTTCTAACAGTGGGTTCCTGCTGCATAGTGTTAGCTTACTTTTCTCGGACAGAGCATGCTAAGCGCTTGCAAGTTGGATCCTTAATACTCCGGGCGTCTTGTTTCGCCTCTGAGGGATTGCTGTATAGTTGGCTTCTCCCGCTGAGTACTTATTACCTCTCAACTTAATTCGCTCATACTTGTCTACTTCTTCAAGTGCTTGCGAGCGACGATCATGTATCCATCACTCGTACCTGTTCGCACCTTCAAGTGTTCATGACGAGCGATTCTAATCGCGTATCCAAGTCCTACCTTATGAGGAATTTGAGGCTAGATCCTGCAGATACCTGCGGATGCAAGCAAGCGATCGCTGGTGAAAACTCGGTACGTGTCTCAACGATAAATTTTGATGAGGGCTGATTAAATTAATCGCACTGCAACGTTGGATGTGACGATATCCAGACTGCATATCTTCAACCCCTCAAGATATTCGACAATATTGTCAGGAACATCGCAAATGTATGCGCCGATCCTGCTCAACCGAACGCAGAACCGAACTTATGGCTCCACAGATAAATCCATACGCAATGACGACATGGGGGCTATTGTCTCGGGCATCTGAAGTACGTTTATTCATGCCCTAAGCCATCCTACTCAGCCTTAATCCTTGTAGATGTTTCTCGCCCTAACGTATTGCGAGATGAAAGATACGATTCAGTGGTACAGAGACGGGTTGCATGGACTAAGGCAACAATTCTGGGACCAACTCGTCAGGGATGTAGGTATCTGCGTTCACCCGTACGGGTAAGGATTTGGAGGTCCTTCTAAATTGCTAAAACCTCTTCATTATTGAATTCCCTTCTTAGTTTCGTTCTCGTCGGATGGGATGACATTATTATGTCTTTCCGCAGGCTCGGGGATACACTGCGAGCACGCCAGATGTTCTGATCGGCCAAGATCTTGCCTGCATACTCTCCTTCAGTTCAAGGACCGCGCTACTAGGTGGATTAAACGAGGCGACCGGTGGGACGGAGGAAGCAAGAGCACTTACGCTTCGATCTTGGCGTGATGAGAGTAAGTAAGTCACTTTGAAACCTTGCTGACTGAGGCCTGAGGCCATATTCTGAATGTTTAACAGGAACTGCTACTGAAATTCCATGCAGTTTTATCGAGCGACTTCGATTCAGCGTAAGTTTTCTGCAGATAATCCCAGACGATGGACGTGACTCATTCTACCCCCAGGAAATCATCAATGATCGTTGCAACGTCCTGCAGTCACTCCCAGGGTCATGACCATCGCACGGCCTCGTGTTCTACCTAGCCAGTTCCCACTGGCCTATCACACTTTCCCTCCTACTGCACAGGCGAGTGCTTCAAGTTCATATCTTAACCCATACTCATAATTTTACATTTATAGTACTCGGGCCGCGGCTCAGGCCAGAGCCGAGCCAAAGCCAGCCGTCACTGGTGGCTTTGGCCCAGCCTGGATTTTTTGCAAGCCCAAGCCGTCTGAAGCCAGGCCGGAATATCACTAGTCCGACTCTTCACTGGGACTCAACCCTAGTCTCACCTGTGGGCGTGCGGGTCGCTCGATTTGATCAACGTCGATGACGTCGGCCACAACTATGAACTTCCTTGCACCATGCTAATGGCTCATTCGACATGGATTACCTTCCGACACCCTCTTGCCACATTCTCTGTAAGTATTTTCATCGGATTCAATCATTTGATGTTACACGATCTTGCAGGACTCGCACTTCGTATCACGCGAT